TAGGTGGAGCTTCCTCGGGTAGGTTATATATATATATATATATATATTCAATTGGGCCTGCAAGCCATCGATGTCATTTAGGCTCGTTGGGCTTCAATCGCTCGTATCGCAAACGTGAAAATGATTTGATACAATGGAACATATAAAATAGTAACACAAGATTTTTAGTGGAGCTAATATTCTCTCTTTCTATATTCTCTAGTTTTGCCACTGAAAATCGGACGGGGATGACGTTTTTTTTTTAAAAAAAAAAATTATGTACGTAGAATAATGAAATAGCGATTTCACTAAAAATAAAAACGTAGTTTTTTTTATACTTTTAGTGTGGCCTGTGGGAATATAGGAAGTATTAGAGAAGGCAATGCGATTTTATAATAAAAAAAAAATCTGAAATAATAGATTCGATTAAAAACGCGATTATGTAAGAGAATAGATAACCGAGCGAACGAGAGATGATGTTAATACATGGCACAAGGACAAGAAATAACGTAATCTTATTGATAGAATTATTAATATCGATTATTTTATGAAAGAGGAGGAAGTCAACGGGTCATGTCGATGGTGTCGGGCCTGCAGCGGCAGACATACATATGGCAGGAATGAAGGATCACGCCCTTTTGAAAGATGCAGTGCATGGCGCAGTCATAGCAGAACCCCATCGCGCCTTGTCCCATCGGCCCCTGCCGACGTGGCATTGCCACTCTCCGACGGTTCACCGCCTCCGTACTCGGCATCCCTTTTTCAAATTACATAATACGATCAGTCTCGTACCGTATATATACACATATATACGCGCGCGCGCGTGCGTGTGTATATGTATATGAATGATGAGAAATTAGAATATGAAAGAACTCACATGATGAGGAGATGATCACAGCGATCAGAAGGAGAGCAATGGTCTTCATGGTTATTTGGAGAAAATTAATTGATAAAAAAAATGTTTTTTTTTGTTGATGATTTATTGTTTTTTGTTGTGATGGTATTTGAAGTTGGGAGATGCTGTATTTATATAAGGTTGTCGCAAGGGGAAGTTTCTTGATTACATTTAAAACTAGACGTAACGATTAGCGTTATTATATATTCTTTATAATTTAATTGAATAATTAATTGATTACGGAACCTAACTTATCTCAAATTGGTTTCTAGGTGAAAGGAAAACCCACTGTTTTAATATATACGAGAGTAACTGTAGCCTGTAGGAGGATGTCTCCATTCTATTCGATTATCATCGAAACGCTGAATGGCGACTGCGTTTGCAACGGACTGTTTTTCTTAACGCCGCGTTTGTCATCATCCGAGTGTTCAAAATCCATGCAGCGTTTCATTTTTCTTTTCTTTTTTTTATTATGATTTTTTTTGGAACGTCTAGACATTGCATTTTACAATTTTTAGAATATTGATTCAAACTAATAAATATTTTTTGTTATTATCATTTTTTTTCTCTCCCTATGATATTAAAAGAGAGACATTTATACACCATTTTAAGAGCATATTTAACATACTAGACAAATGAAAATAAAATTATACATCACTTCTGGGTCGGTTAAGTCTCTTCCGGGTAGAGTCGATTTTAGACTCTGATTATATCGTCTTAAGATGATGGAGTTAGATTTTCTAGTTCGGTACAGTGGCGGACCTACGTGGAGATGAGTGGGGGCACTGGCCCCCATTGTTTTTTCTTTTTAAAAATATTAGTTATAAAATTTAATAAAATTTTTAAAAAATGTATTAATGCCCCCGCTAAAAATTTTTCACGGACCCCACTAATTTGATTTTTTTCATATATTTTGTGATGTTAGTTAATAAAAAAATTAGTCTATTGTTTTTTTGTTATTTTCTATTTTCAAGTTTTTTACTTTTTTTAGACAAATAAAAAATATTGTCAATTTAATTATAATAAAATAAAAACTAAAACAAAAGAAGAAATATTTGTAAAAATTGTAAATTTAAATAATCTTTGTTATTTTTTATTTATTTGTTTTTATATGTTTATTATACTTATAAATTTATCTGTATATATATTTATTGAATTTTTATTTGATTTAGTAGAAAGTTCAACCGATAATTTACTAAAAAAATCTAACCCATAATACATTAAATTTTTAATTTTTGAGTCATTGTCTAGTTTATTTTATCAAAAATATAATTCAAACAATTATAAATGGAGTTATATAAATATATTTTAAAAAATAAAAAATCATAGAATTTATTTGTTGAACCTAAATATTTTTAGATAAAATTTTATAATATATATTTATATTTTTATTACTATTATTTTGTTGCCCCCATCGATAAAATTTTCTGCGTCCGCCACTGGTTCGGTATACCCCAAAAGGGGTATGATGGAAGGACTATGAGTCTCGGGCAAACCCGAGAAATCGGGTGCAGGAGAAGGCCAAGAACCAGGTGGAGTGAGTGGTTCCGCGGGTAGGTAGGGATACTACATGGAGGATTTGTAGATCCCGGATGACGAGGTAGGGAGAGTCCGAGGTAGAAGGACGGATTAACCTCGGATGAGTAAACCGAAGTTGCTTCGGTTCTCGGTGGTAGGTCAGGAGGTGAGGTCTCCACATTTAGGTGGAGCTTCCTCGGGTAGGTTGGCATGTTAGAGTCCGAGGGTAGAAATCATATACCTATAGGTAGTGTAGACTTCACGGGGATCCGGGCTAGGTATCTAGCGGGTTTCGGTAGTATGACTCATGTTAGTCTCGGGAGAAGTCGGGTTAGACTTAAGAGACGGATAAATGTCGGGTATAATCTTCGGGTTAGCTAGCGGGTAAAGTCTTAGACTTTACTAGGAGGTTAAGTTAGACGGTCTAGAGAGTCATACAACCGAGGGTAGCGTTCGCCGGTCGGGTGACGCATGGTAGGATAAGCAGGTCGGTGGCGGGATAAGGCGACGAGGCCATGAGAAGTCATCGACGGGAGTTTCATCAGGTTCAAAGGCAGCGATACATGACAAACTCCGGTACATCAGGTAAGTGAGGTAAGTCAGGTAAGTTACGCTTTAAATTCCGACGAAAGTCGATCGGTGCTGGAAACGGCGAACCACTAGCGTTTATTTTTATTATTATTTCCGATTCTCTTTCTCCACCAAGGTGGAGATTGTTGGGCCTTAAGACCCATTGGCGGAAAAGAGAACCTTCCGTTTCGGAAGGAGGTTTCGGTTTTAATCGAAACGCAGCGTTTCGACAAAGGGTTAAAGAAACCCTAATGGGTTTCGGGACTTGACACGGAGAGAGGCACGGTGCTCGAGGTGGAGAGGAGAAAGGCGATCGTGAGGAAGAGAGGAAGATCGCGACGGAGGAGGAGTTTCCCGACGATGGAAAAGCTTGGACCGGTGGCGGTCACCAAAGGTGAGTCGCGGAGTAGGTCGGTAAGTGTCTCGTATCATGTCTCTTGGTGTTTCTCGGTGAGCCTCCGACCTTGTGTGGAGAGCCACCGTGTGTTTTCCTCGTCTCGGTTGTTTCCGTTCTTTCTAGTGGATTCGCCGGTACCGTCCGACCGAGATGTAGGCCCGAGATTTATCTCGGTAACCGAATTCATAAAAACTCCGATGTTCGTTTCGTTTTTTGCACGTACGAGTGACGGAGTGAAGGTGAGGACTCGATACGCACTTCACAAAAACAATTGTCTTTCTGAACGCGTTTATATATATATATATATATATATAGCATCTACATTGGTTGTTTAAAGAAAATATGATATTATTATTTACATAGTTAAGCTGTCAAATATTATCCTAATCAACGGCATCATCCACAACTATACCGACTAGAACATTCTTAGAATAACAGTGTGCAGATGGTACGTCGGGAAATTCACCCTCACCCAAAAGATGGAATATCATATATTTAGTTTTTTTTATAACGATTTAATACAAAATAAAGAAGATAAATTAATTTCTTCATTTATTAGTAGCGAATTTCTTACGGATTACGATTTATTGAAAGTTAAAAACAAAACAATGGTGGATCAGCTGGCACTTTATTGTCGGCAACTGAAATGACGCTTTTACCCATTCCGCGTCTTTTCTGAGGAAAACGGAAGGCACATACGTAATTCACCAGCCACTCGTGTTTTTTTTGGTTCATTAATGTAAACTATAATTAACCAAACCGCATTATATTGACCATAATTTGATTCATCGCCATACATTTCTCGCACATTAAAAGCTTTTTAACAGAGAGATAAGAGATGAAAATATATCATATGCTGTATATGCAGCTAGCAGCAAGTCTCCTCCTTTCACCATTTTAAAATGAGTGAAACAACATGAAGTTGGCGAGAAAGGGTTTTGAAGACAAAATAAAGGCGAATCCACATGAAATCCGATGATGCAAGAATATAAATATGTGTATATATATATATAAAATAAACTTTGTCCTAAAGTCTGTCTTAATTTTTCAAACATCCCGACAATTGTGACAACTCTTAAAAACTTACAGGTCTCACGGTTGAGATGGAGCCGCCGCAGGCTGAGGAGGCAGCCGCTCTTGATGTTCTATCTTTTCTTTAGGAGGATTTGTCGAATCTGATTTGTGGTCGGATTCTTCTGCGAGATGAACTCTGGCGAAATCATCGACCACTTTCCTCTTATCCTCTTCCTCAGCCATTCCCGCCTTCTCTTTCGCCTTCTGCCCGACCTCCTCCGCTGCTTTAGCCACTTTGCTGAAAGCCCCTGTCACCCATGTCGCCCCTGTCAGTACATACCTGTTCTTCATTATGGCCGACCCTGCATTGCTCACTGTCTGCTCCGCCGCCGCTATTGCCGATTTTGTTTTCTCCGTCACCTGGAATTTCTGGTCGACTTCTCTTACCTTGTCGCTCACAACAGCTGTTCCCGCGTTTATCTTCTCAGTGAACCCGATTTTCTTGTCTAGGGACGCAACTTTGGCTGAGGCAGTTGATGTCAGCTGGTGCTTCTCGTCTAAGTTCTTTGCTTTAGCTACAGCGTCTTTGCCCAGAACAAAGCCCTTTGCAAGCATGCTGCTTACCACGTCTTCCGCCTTTCTCAGTGCAGATTCAGCTGCCCCCGGAGATTTTTGGTCTTTTGCTTCCTGTGAGTCATTTGGGAATAGACAAATCAATCAATCAATCACCTGATGAATCTCTGCAAGGGACCTGATTAAGGTTGATGGGCTTACAGAGGTAGCTAAAGCATCAGGAGGTAGCTGATAATCCGGGGCCATAGTTACCGCAACTGGAGAATCAACAATGGTTGCTCCCTGAAAGAAATTTATCCAGGAACTGCTGTAATTAAGATTTTATGGGTTATAAATATTAAGATAGAATGGACACGGAAACTTGTTACTTGAAAGATGGCATAATTATATAGGGTTTGAAACAGGTGACAAATGAAATACCGAAAGGAGAACTGCAGTCTCAGCTCCTTGTAGATCGTTGAAGGTGACATATGCCACCTTAGATCGTTCACTCTCGCTGCAGATATATGAAGAATCCAGAATTTAGGATCTAACAGCTTAAGACATAAAAATCAAGACTTCAGAGGAACCGGATTTACCTCTGTGTCTCGAGGTAAACAATATCACCAGAGAAGGAAAAGAATTCCTTGAGGTCCCGATCCGTCGCTCCTAGAGAAACATTGCTAACTTTGACTGTAGTCATCTGCGAAGAAAAGTAATCCCGTGAAAAATTATAGTCCATATACCAACCTTATTAGCTTTAACATAATGTTCGGACATTATAGAATTAGAGATTCAGCAAGACTGATATCTCCAAAACAAGGACGAAAGTGGATATTTGGTCAGGAAACCGGGAGATGGGAATCCAATTCCATTGTTGATTCACTTGACAGTTCAAGTTCTGTCTCAGCTTAAATCGGCAGAATGATGATTCAACCATCATTCCCGTTTGCTTTTACCCAGAAGCTATAGACAATTGGACAATGACATTCTAAAGCTAACTAAAACAGGTTCCCTAAATTTTCAGTCATTTGACTTTCAACTATGCAAGTAAATAGGCGGGGCTTATCATTGCGTTAAACTGCCTTTCAAGGAAATGGGCTTCTTCGTACCGTACTCGACCTTTGGATAGAGGGTCTTTACAAGTCTATATATTCCTGGATTTCGTCCCCCCTCGTAAGATCAATATCACAACTAATGAGGTCTGAAAGTCCTCACAAAGAAGCCCAGTGGCATTGTAAAATCGATCGAAAATATTTAACTTGAAATTCCAGGAGCTACTTCAGCTTTTCAGGGAACTGGACCAAAACCTTCAGATTTTGATCAACGAAACGGAAAGATCAAAAACAAAATCCGAAAAGGATAGGTCTCGGAGAAGCGATTCTTCGTCAGAAAACCAATCCTCTCGCAAGAATCACGGACTCATCGAGATGAAAAACTTCGAAACGAGAATAGTTTCGAACCAAATGGTTCTTTCGCCTCGGAACCAGACGTTTCACAGTAAACAAGAACCGAAAATCTTTTAACGCTCAATGAAACAAACGAATCCAAGTCAAGACAGAGGCAAACATGCGATTATCGCACAAATCTGACATCGCAGGAATCCTAATGACCAGATCTATTCACATCGGGAAATAAAATCAACAGCAGAAGCAGCGATTCCAATGAAATCAAAAGCAAACAAATTCATACGGACAGAGAGGCGAAGACGAAGAAGATACGGAATGTACTCACAGACATGGCGAAGAATCGTTGGCACGGATTGGACGGAAGCTAGTTCTTCCACAAATTTTCGAAATTTGAAAGGAAAAATAAGATGAAAATCTTTGGCCGCGGATTTGCAGAGAGAGAGAGAGGGGAAAAAAGTGAACCATTTTATATGAGTGGAAAATGGAAGAGGGGTTTTCGGGTGGCACGTGCGATTGTCAGTAGATTTTCTCGCCGGCGACTTCTCACGTGCCATTTCGTAAGCGTCGTGCCCATAGTTCTCCTTTGTCGGGGAAAGATTCTCCCCTACGTGAAGAAGGCTAACAATTTGAATTGAAAATCCAAAAAATCACGACGTATTTTTATTTAGATTTAATTATATGATATGAATGTTAAATTATGAATATTGACTAATGATAATATACGTATATGTGCCCGAAAACTGTACAAAGGCCAAGTACCTTCTTTTTGCGTACCAAGTCTCACCCCAACTAATTATAATATATAGTCTTAAATCAAGTAATTCAATTAAATCCCCATTTGCTTTTGATGTGCAAACAACGTGACATAATCACATCTTCACAGGATATAAACAAGCCAAGTGTCCTAAGCCGGCGGCACTGTTAAGGACTTGTCCTCCGCATGGGGAGTAAGATACACGCGCTTCAGATTTGGAGGATCTTCTAGCCAACACAAGAAAACTTTTTTTGAAAATTATAATTTTAGCCTAATATTTGGAAATCTCACAATGTCAGCCCTGTTTATATGTAAGGTTCATGGAGGATATATTTGTAACATTTCAAACAATTAATCTTGTTTCGGTATTTTTTGAGGAACATGAGGGGGCGATTGTACAAAAATGGTGAAGAAGGGAAGATATATTCAAAGTGGTGGCTTTTCTCTCTCCAAGCGGGCTTCACGCATTTCAACCCCTCTCTCTCTCTCTCCTCTCTCTCTCTCCTCACGCCTTGTCCGTAGCTTTTCTCAATCCATCGGCAATCGGGATATTCCTCTCCCCCTCGATCTTCGTTACTGTAGATCGAATTTCGATTTTCCATCACTTTCCCGGGAAAAAGAGAAGGAGAATCAGCGATCTTTTCGTATCTAGGTGCTCTTTCCGAGGAAGTTCGAGGATCACGGAGGAAAGAGAATCCAAGGGAAAAGAGGAAGATGAGTTTTCAGGATTTGGAGGCAGGAAGGCCGTTGGCTTCGTCGAGGATCAATGGAGGTCGACAGGACCCGACTCAGGCCGTCGCCTCCGGCATTTTTCAGATTAACACCGCAGTCTCGACCTTTCAGCGACTTGTCAACACCCTCGGCACTCCTAAGGACACGCCCGAGCTCCGGGAGAAGCTGTAAGTTCTTGTCTTTTCATCAGTTTGTCGGAACTGTTGGTCGCTTAGGGCTTACGTAGGTGAAAATTTGATCAATTTTGTTGGAATTCAGTGGATCACAAAGGTTTATGTGGCCCCCGAATCTGAAACTGTTCTGGGTCTATAGGGGTTTCGCTTGTTACCCTGGAATTGCCTTGTTACAGGAGTAAAGCATGAAGATTTTTGTCCAGAAACGTGTTTTGTCCTGATAACAATCTGTGTATCATTTCTTGTATTCGTTGTGTGATCTGCATCTCTTTATCTTCAAACTGAATCTCTTGGGAGTTGTGTTGCTTCTTGAGCAGACACAAGACGAGGTTGCATATTGGACAACTCGTGAAGAACACCTCAGCTAAACTGAAAGAAGCCAGTGAAGCAGATCATCAAGCTGGTGTAAATGTGAGTGTTTGACAGGAAAGTTCTTGTTGAGATTCCTTAATTTTCATGTTTCTGTGATGAACGTATAGGTTATGATTGTATGATGATGCAGCCAAACAAGAAGATTGCGGATGCTAAGCTTGCAAAGGACTTTCAAGCTGTACTGAAAGAGTTCCAGAAGGCTCAGCGTCTCTCAGCTGAAAGGGAAACCGCATATACTCCTTTTGTTCCTCAAGCAGTCCTTCCGTCTAGGTAAACAATCATCCTACAAGTCAAAGACTGCTTATGTTATCTTGATTATGTCTATTGGTTCAACTCTAAATTACTAAAATCTGAAATATAAAGTTATCAACTTTGTTTGCAAAATCAACCCGGTTTACTTTTGGTTAACTGCGATTGCCAAATATTGTTGTCCCGTTTTGAGTTATGGTCCTAGTGTTGTTATCAATTTTTTCTGTTGGGTTTGGTTTGCAGCTACACAGCCAGCGAGGTAAATGTGAGTTCAGATAAGACTCCAGAGCAACGCGCTCTTCTTGTGGAATCAAGAAGGTCAGTTCTTCGCTGAATAATCTTTTATCCAACGCTATGCTATGATATGATATGATATGTCTTTCATTTGTCATGGAAGCTACAAGCAAACCGGGTTTATGATACAAGTGTTTAGATTCTGATCTTTTCAGACATGACTTAACTTTCACCCTTTTTTTGTCACGACCACAGACAGGAAGTCTTACTGTTGGACAACGAGATCGCATTCAACGAGGCTGTAATTGAGGAAAGAGAGCAGGGAATACACGAAATCCAGCAGCAAATAGGTGAAGTTAACGAAATCTTTAAAGACCTTGCGGTGTTAGTCCACGACCAAGGAGCCATGATCGGTACGTTATTTAAAACTCAGTTCCCTTCACTACGGGTTATGTCCTTAATCAACAATTACACCCTTTTTTGGCAGATGATATTGGGACACACATCGAGAATTCGCAAGCTGCAACATCACAAGGAAAAACCCATCTCGCAAAAGCCTCAAAAACACAAAGATCAAATTCATCTCTGGTAAAAAAAAAACTCAAGCTTTTCCTGCCTTAACATCAACCATTCTAAGGAACTATTGGATCCAGTGGGGTTTTGTTTGTTTGTTTGTGTCCATGCAGACGTGCTTGCTCTTGGTGATATTTGGGATCGTCCTCGTGATCGTGATCATAGTACTGGCCGCTTGATTTCTAAAGACGCGAGACTTTAAAAGAACATGAGTGGAGTTGGCAACAACAAGTTCTTGGTTGAGTTCGCCAACCAAAGAGCATACCGTCTGGTATGTTCTCACTCCGACCGAGTGTGATTTCACGGGCATGGTCTTTCCTGTTTTGCCTGTTGGGTATTCGTTTCGGCTCTCTTGTCGAGTATGTGTGTGTGTATATATATATTAAGATGTGTGGTTTCTCATGGAAAGAGACAGGGTCAAGTTTTTGGTTTGGGGTGCCAGGAGAGCGTGTTTCTGTAATTGTTTTCTTTCTTAAGACTTGGAATTGATAATGGAGAAGAAGAAATCAGCTGCCTTTAATCCTCTTCCCCATGTGCATTGTGATGTTATATATACATCTATATATCTATCTATATATATATATAGTAATCAGCACAAGGTGGACCAAAAAGGAATTGCAATGAATCAGAGGGTATCTCTCTCTGAAACAAACATGATCAAGACTTCTTTTTTTAGTATTTACTGAGTTCTATCAAACCTTTGAGCTGAAAGCAGAGGCCATGACAATGGCAATGGCCGACAGAACAGCGGCCGCAAAAGTAACGACGGAGACAATCTCCGTATGATATCTGATTCCGGCAGGTATTTCCCATACAACGGACCCGATTTCCGATCTGCCAACACTCAAAACCAGACATCTGGTTTGTCTGCTCCGCCGGTTTGTGTCCTGTCCCCTGCAGACCAACACGTCTGGATCTCCAAACTCAATTCTCGAGTATCCACTCTCTTCCAGAGGCTGAGGTTTTCGTCAAACCGAAACAAATTCATGAGCAATACCATTCCAGATACCGAGCATGTAGCGCGTTGAAAATTACGTACCTGATACCGAGCATGGAGAGGAAGCATTAACCCGATTTCGGAATTTCCATGATCGTTGCGATCGAGTTCAACATGAATCTCAACAACAGACCGGTTCGATCTGAACGATGGCAGCTCAAGATTAGTGTCTCCAAACACTGCCATTTCTCTGAAAACTGCCAAAGTTTCAGGATTTGTCAAATCTGATCATCATCTGTCAGAAAAAAAGAGAGGCCTAAATCTTTTCTTCTACCTTTGCGTTGCCGAAGATTCTGAAGCTCAAAAGGATCAGCAAAGACTCCCAAAGGCAATCTTTCAATGATCACAAGTTCATGAAACTGAGGAGGAAGAAGAAGAAGACTGACGGATGTGAGAAGGTGGCGATGTGAACCTTCGCCTGCTATGTTTCTGTGTAGGAGAGATATTGTCGGAGCAAAGGTTGGATCTTTGGTCGGGATCCCACAAGAACTTTCTTTCAGCAGAAAATCTCTAAACTCTGAATCGTCCAGTGAAGTGTGGGTAGAGAAATAAGATTGCATAATGTATCTGTCGGAAGTGCAGAAAGATTGGATTCCATTGGATCCGACCACTTTATCAGAATCTCCGTATGCCCCAACCTGAAAATTTTAATACAATCAAAGAAAATGCAGCTTCCAATCAAAGAAAGTTGAGAAACGGGTCGTGGTTTAGGCAAATCAAATCAAACCCAGAATTCAAATCACGTTTCGGAACAAAGGATTCGCGGGTCAAATCCAGAAAGCTCTAAAAATCCCACTGGGAAGGAGCAATGTGGGAATGAAAACGCGAACCCAGATTAGATGGAATCCGAATTTCGACATTGTTATAGGTGGAGCTTCAATCAGATGGTAAAAATCTAAACTTTTTTCTTATTTCCCATCGATTCATACTTGTTCGTTTTTTTCCTGCTTTTTTTATCCAGTTTCTTACAGATTAAACCGAGAAGGACCAATTTTTGACAAAACCCAGAACTGAAATCAACAAGTAAGCCATAAGAGTTCATCGTTTAGACAAACTGCACTTGGAAATTAAGAAAATTCAAGAGTGGAAGATATCTAACCTGATCAGAAGATGATGATGATGAAAAATCCAAGCATGAAGCCGCGTAGCATAAGAAAATCAACGTTATGATTAACCTTTTCCGTTGGGTTTCCATGGATCGATCGTATCGCGAACGAGACGGAGGAGTATCGAAATCTCAAAATATGAGCAGAGAGATAGAGATGGGATCGTGGACTGATTCAATTGGTCTAGTTTGAACCGGTCCTAACCAAAATGCCACCGATTTCTCTCCGAAACATCACTCATTTCCATTTCTGTTCGAAGTTCTACTTCCGGTTTGGTTAGGTCCAGTTCACTGTTTTCGTATGAGTCCACAAAGTGTATATATATGTATGTATGTATTCTTTATACACGACTAAAATACACTATCACATGCACATTGAATACCTATACAACCCCACTAAATATACAGAAACGCTTGTCGAAGTTAACCAGACTATACAAAAACATATAATGGACTGACATAAACCCAAAAGTAAACAAGTTTACGATTAGTTCTCTGGTCACTTGTTGGCTTCCGATGCGAGAAGCCCCATCTGGTCTGTCAGCCTATCCACATTCTCAGCTTTCGCCAAACCCTTGTCATTTCCAGCCTCTGCTGCTGTTGTTGCTAGTTCTGTCTCTCCAAGAACCGGGTCTTTCATTAAGTATTCGTCCAAGAAATCACAGCTACCCATCAGTTCATCCATCTCAGGAACGTCAAACTGAATTGGCACCGAGCCATCCAACAAAGGGCATGGCTCAAAGAATGCCCCAGAAATGTCACTGATGCTCTCTGGCGCCAGTTCTGACATCGTGGGACTTGCAGACATGAGAGTAGTACTTGGCAGGGGAGCTGAAGTGGAGAGCTGTTCCAGAAATCGAGTTCTTGAGAACTCTTCAGTGGCTGTGGCTTCAGAAACGGCAATAGGGACTGACAACTCTGACGGAGAGTGTGTATAGGATAATGACTGACCCGAAGTTGTAGGCAAGCAGGACGATGGCTGCCCTGCTACTGTGGATATGTAGGATGGAGGCTGACCGGATGTTGCAGATACAAATGCAGGTGCCTGCCCTGAAGTTGTGGGCAGTACCTCTTGAAGAGTGACCCCTGAGACCCGGCTAGGTGAGTTTCCAGGAAAGAGATTCCGATGTGTTGATGAAAACCCGTCATGGAAGTGGAGATTGTCATCCGTTTTCATGATGTTCCATAGCATTGACTTTGTCGGATCACTTCTTAGAGGCTGATACTTGACAATCTGTCCATTTGATGCGGTCGAGCTATGGTTAGGCTCGGTAACGGCGTCCTGTTTCAGCCTCCGCTTCTTGTTGGATTCAGTGACATGCATATTGTTGTTCGGCTTCTGTATAAAGTGAGAGAGGAAGGTGGGGTTCTGCATGGCTTTGGCAAGGAAAGACATAATCTGTTGTTGTCGCTGCTCCATGACCTGAAGATGTTTAACCATTGTCTGAAGATGGTTATCAGTTGTCTGCTGCTGCTGCCGTAACTTGACGAGTTCTTGCATAAGCACATTTTTGTCTCTTTTAAGCTGTTCAACCTCTTCCTCAAGCCCAAATTTCCCGACCTCCACACATGCCGATACAGACGTTGAACTTTGGCCCTGTGGCTGCTGAGACTGTGGAGGACCATGCCCGTGAACAGGTTTTCGTCGGGTTATAGTCTTCAAGAGGTGTTTTTGACCCCTTAAGAACCCTTCGTTAGCAAATTCCCATCGATCGGGGTCCACTTTCCTGAAACCCTGTATGATGAGGAGAAGACCAGCGTTAGCGAGGAATGATAACCAACCAGATGAGACTGTTAATCTCAGTAAATCATCCAGAAACTGTAGCTCTCAATTCGCCAGAGCTAAACAGGCTCAACATCTTTACAACAAGTACGAGAAGGAGAAGCTAGACAAGGCAGTGAATTACAAACACAAAACACAAAAAGTGATGTTCAATCTAAGCACAGCAAAAAGGGCACCTAAACTCAAGTTTAGATAAAACCCCATCTCTAACCCATCTGACATAAACAACGAATAAACCTAGGTCTTGCCAACACTCTTGCCATGGTTCACAAGCCTTAATAGCATCCAGAAGAAATCTGCAATAACATCTACCATTTATGCGCACAAACACAAGTGCTTGAGGTTGAATAGCACAACCAGTAGATCTATCTAAGCCTTGAGAGCCGTTGACATTCAATCTATCTCCTTGTTCCACTTCAAGGCTGTATGTCCCAAACCAACACAAGGTCAACCCTGTTGGAACTATAACTTAGCACATCCTACTTTCAGCTATTTTCCGACACATCAGAGCCGTGACAGTTTCGGCAGCAGAACTCCAAACCAATGTTACAACTCCGACACCACTTCCTTCCGTTATATTTCCATGGACTCCCACTAGAGTTCCAACGGTCAACTCATCAGCCCCGAAGATGGATTCAGAGACATAAAGGCTGAGGCCTTTTAATCAAATACAAACTCGATTACTCAAATTCGTTGCCCTACATGCCTAATCCAACCCATCCGTTTGCAAGATACTCCACCAAAATCACAACAGTTAATACCTTCGGAGACAAGAGGATGACAGAACTTAATTCGGATGAAACGAAATTAGAGAGGGAATCCGAAGATATACATAGGTGTTCAACTGGCGAACAAAGCTGGAGAAATTGTTGTGCTTGAAGTACTTGGGGAGAAGATCACGCGCGAACTCCGGCGGATTCCAGACGATGAAGCTATTGTTCGTCGGACTCCACGAAACAACCGCGTCCGTTTTCGGATCTTCCACCATGTCATACGTCTTGCTCAGGAACGGCGGCGGAAGGGCATTCGCACTCTGCGCCGCCGGATGCGGATTATGCTGCGGGGGCGAGGAGTCACCGGGATTCTCCGTCGCATCTCCGCGACTCTTTCCTCCTCCGCCGCCGGAAAAGATTCCGTTCATCTGGTAACTGGAGAGAGAGTACGGTGGGAGAGAGAAGGGATATAGATGGACGGCAGAAATAAATAAGCCCGTGGGAGAGGACACGTGGCGTGTCGACAATCCTTTGTCTTATGTGTCTTTTTTTTTTTTTTTTTGGGTTGTGGGGTGGGGGGGTCAAAAAGTTCACAATAATAATGGGAGCTGCACCGTTGTCGACTTCATTTATTTTAATTTTCACAATAATAATAACAGATCGAGATTTATTATTATTTATGTATTTAAGAGATATTCGATTTAGAATCTTAGATCATAGTTATATCCGGAGATTAGCGTTTATATTTATAATTCCAAAATGATCTCAAATTGGCGAGCCCATCAAACGCAAGACTCTCTTCCCCATAAATAGATACATTTTGAAAACATTTATTATATATATATATGTACTTTTTTTGTATATATATATGTACTTATTTCTACATATACGTTGACTAATCATACAACGAGTATTTTTGTAAAAAAAACACGTGTAAAAAAATGAACCAACAACAAATGAGCCAAGTAACAAAAATTACAAAAGAGCTGTTCAATGTATATGTGTATTGCATGTATACTTAAGATCGAACTTATGATGTGAAGGTATGAACTTGCCCTTATATTAGCAAATGATCCACGGAAATATTTACATCCTCTTGGCTTGTCAACCTGCGAATTAATCAGAAAATCGTCGGTCGATATATGTCACATTTTATACGGAAAAATGTAAATAATCTATATATATAGTCACGAATATTGGAAAATTGATATATCTTGTTTTCATCATCAAGGAGCTTCTCCCGTTCCTCCACCACGGCATCTGAACAGGACAAGAGCTGAGCCGTACGTTTCGGTTTGGGTTGAGCCGGGTGTTTTCAGGAGAAACCAACACTGAAGATTGGACATCCAGGTATTGATCATAGCCATAGAAACTCGTCTACACCGGTTCCGGTCTGATCATCCCCAGAGTGGTAACCGCTTGAGAAACGGCGACCAAATCCAGAAGTCGGTTTTCTTTGAGAATGTCCAAAAAGCCGCCGGATCCCACCGGTTCAGATCGGTTTTGTTTGGTTCCGCAAAAGTTTCCAAGTGATGACCATAATAAATTCACGCCGGTTTGAAGGGTTGATCCAAATAGAATTAGGGAGACCCAATTGGGGAAATAGAGTGAGTGGTACCAATATCAAGATTGTGAAAATTGCATGTTGTCGTGGCGTAAGAAAGAGTAAATACTATAGGGGTTTTTGTTCGAAGAATTTTTATAAATTAATTATTTTATTCCATTTTGTTGTTATGAGTTTGATGTCACAAAATATACCAGCAAATTCTACGGGGACTATGATTCGGGTACGTTTTCAATGCACATATATATTGTTTGAAATAAGGTTTGATTAGCGGGATACTATCATATACTATATGTGGATATAACATGTTAATGGTGCGTTAATTTCTATGACTTGAAAGCATGCATATACCTATAACTAATTATTGTTGGTCCACACACACGTATATATTGTGCAGAATATCAATTTAAATCTTTTATTGGAATCTGCTAAATTATGTTCTCATTGCAAGTTCTTCATAAAAAATTGTCATCCTCTAATTTTCACGACATCGTTTACCCTTTTCCTTTATTCGTTGTTCTAATTAAGTAAACTAAGATTCTTCTTCTCTGATGACGAACATAGCTTCTGTCTCACCAAGAGGATTCCGACGCTCTGAAAGATAATATGATTTGGCAATTTTGTCTGTCATTATCTTGATTGTTTTGTTATAATAAACGATATGAAGAATATATGCAAATATATGTACATATACACATATATACCTTATATACATATACAGAGAGAGAGAGAGAGAGAGAGAGAGAGAGAGAGAGAGAGACGCCTGAGCAAATAATTTTAAACGGTGAAATCGCTATTTAATATGTGTAGGTATAGCCACCTAAAATGGTATGTATGTACACGTATGTATTCATGTACATGGTACACATATACATCTACATACATACATATTATATATCAGTGTTTCATTGACCATTTTAACCACTCTCTAGGAAGGTTTAAGCATATAGAATTAAGGTTGATCGTTAGTGTAGGTCAATTAATATATAATATGATAATTATTACATTTCGATTTTTGAAAGAAAAAAAGAATCTTACGTACGTACGTACTGAATCTTTGTTAGGGTTCACAAGAATGACGACTATAAAGATGGGTTACGACAATTATGAAGGTACATAAAACGAAGTTTCCCACGACTCAGGAAATTTCTATTAAATTATTTTCTAATAATATTTGACCGATTGGTTTAATCACACTGTTGCGTTTGTACAAATTAATGTAGGCTATTTCTGAAAATATATCTTATAGTATAGTTACTCTATCTCTAAATAATTAAAGGGTCCATTGAAAAAGAAATTAAAGAGTCCATATCTATGCTTGTTGCAAATTATCAATATCAGAAATTATGTAAATTTTTCAATAGCTCTTATCTCATTCTCTTGTGAAGTAATATACTAATACTTATCTCATTGATAAACCACCAAAACACAAATATTACTCTAATTGTATAATATAAAGATGGATCGTTAAAAATAAATAAATAAAATTACTCTTTCAGCCATTTTTCTTTGTCGTCTTTGAGGAAACCTATGCTAAGGTGTCTCATGAATTGGTTTGCGTATCCGTCGTTATAAAACGGCTATGATAAAAATTATAGAATATTATATTATTTTACCTTTACAATATTGACTGATGAGTAATACACTAACACGTCATATCTCACATTTTTATGACTTCATGACCATTATTTCTCCCGATCGATTTCTTATTGTTACTATATAGGGAGATCGTGGGTTGTAATTGCTATATTATATTTTCCAAGTGGTTGCGAATGTAGAAAATAAAACTATTGTGCCCAATTTCGAAAAAATTTAAAATTTAGAGAAGATATCACATAAAGCCTTTACATTTTTAAATTTATATATAAAGGTTGAATCCAAGTATGCCGTGGGAAAGAAAGAGAGGGTTATCCAAGTTTGGCTGATCTAGTGTTAAAAAATATACAAAATATGTTTTAATCTCGAATTCAAATCTAACCGTGGAAAAAAGTATTCATCTAGATTTTTTCGTTTTTTTTAAAAATATAGTTAGATCAAAAATAGAATCGTCTTATAAGGAATGTAAATGGTATATTTAAATAGACTTCTATTTTTTTACCCCATTTTTTTAAAAATATGTTCTTTTTAAATTTTCAATTAAAAATTGAGTCATGAATTTTTTTTAAAAAAAAGAAAATTTTATAATGTTATCACAAAAAATAATTATAACATTAATTTTATATTTTATGATTGAAAAAATATATAATCTTAATGTATATATATTAAAATTGATTAAAAATAAAATGTGTATATATAGATATATAGTGTTTGTACGAGACTTCGTCAACAATGATTCTGGTCAAAAGTACGATGAACTTATAGATTATATAAAAATAATAACAACTAATAACTATACTATCTACATTTTTTCAAAATTTTATATTTGATATGCTCTTTATCTATTTAAAATAAGGAGATATCCTTTTATGCATGTGCGTATATAATATATAGTTTGAAAAATAAACAAAATATTTATTCTTTTACTCTGTTAATTAATTCTCATGGACGTGGATTATTTGTCTCGCATTTAACTTGTATTTTTATAAATTGGTGATTTTCAAACCCGGTCAAATGCGTCATTCATCGCCACATCTAATCAGTAAATCGCAATTTGATTTAACATCATTTTAGATGATGGGTCACTATCACACCATAAAGAAAAAGCAGTTTTCGTAATTACTTTGTTTTTTTAAAATATCTTTTTCGAGGAAAATGTCGTGAAAGCTGTTTGGCTTAGCATACGGTGTATCAATTTTAGCGGTGTAAAACGAGCCGCGTATCGCCAGCTAGTTCACGAATCGACCTATATTTTTTCGACGCGGACTTAAAATATTTGTCGAGTCCAGAAAAAATCGGATCAAACGAGCCAGTCCGTCACGAGCCATGGCTC